CGTATTTATGTCATGCAGAATCGTATTTATGTTATACAGTCCCGTATTTATGTTATGCAGAATCGTATTTATGTTATACAGTTCCGTATTTATGTCATGCAGAATCGTATTTATGTTATACAGTCCCGTATTTATGTTATGCAGAATCGTATTTATGTTATACAGTCCCGTATTTATGTCATTCAGAATCGTATTTATGTTATACAGTCCCGTATTTATGTTATGCAGAATCGTATTTATGTTATACAGTCCCGTATTTATGTCATGCAGAATCGTATTTATGTTATACAGTCCCATATTTATGTTATGCAAAATCGTATTTATGCTATGTAGTTCCATCTTTATGTCATGTAGTGTCGCATTAATGATGTTCAGTCCCTTCTTTGTCAAGTATTTATGTTATCCCTGTAGCAGTGACATGATGGAAAACCCAGCCTTGAATAATCCACTGGATAAAGATGTGCTATTACCTAATCTGGGATAAAGAGGGTCACCTAATCTGGGATACTCCATTTGGTAAAGAGACATAATGGGCAACCCAGTCTCAGATAATAAAGATGTACTAAGATGGATCACCTGATCTGGGATACTTCACTGGGTAAAGAGGCGGTATTATGGGTCACCTGACCTGAGATACTATAGCGGGTAAGACAGTGACATGATGAGCAATCCAGCCTTAAATACTCTACTGGATATATCACCTGATCTGGGTATAATGGGTAGACAAACTTGGAAATTGGAAAACCATATTGAAATCGGTAATTTTTTTATTTAAAAATGATTTGCTGAGTAGAAAAAGACTACATCAATCATTGAAGTTTATTAAAAATTTGTTTAAAAATAAATTATCCAAAATACAACTATTGAATATCAGCAAATTACTTTTATAAATGTAATTATCAATACAATATCTACAATAAGAATGATAACATTATATTACCATTACCATATGGTGATAAGTTACAGTATTTACAGGTGTACATCAATGGCATTCTTATACATGTATAGCTACATCATATTTCTCTCTGAATAATATGTTTGAATCTTATATATTTACACCATACTTCAGTAATTCATATTCTAGTGTTAAGAAAAACATAATTATTACAATTAAAACAAATATTTCACCATATCTACAAACTATCTATAATTTGTACAATTATAGTGACCACTATTTCAGCGCAAATAAAACCACTACCATATGTTTTTGGTATAAATTATTTTTTGTACTCCAAAAACACATACTGATATGGGGTTTTTTTCAATAATAATAAAACAGTATTTATCTCATGGAATGTGTGAATATGTTTACTTGCATAAATTAAAAATACACCTACATATGAAGTGTTAAATTCAGCCTCAAGCTGAATTATATTAAAAATAGCACATTTAAATGGAAATAAAGTCTAAGGAAGGTTGATTTTGTGATTTTACATTTGATTCTGTAATATAGATATAGATTATAACATGGTTAGTTTGAATCTAGCGAACTGATTGACTGAAACAAAGTCTTATATCTGGCATGAGAAGGCATATGATCCTGCCCCAAAACTGAATAAACTATCATACAAGTATCTATCTAACTGTGCCAAGATCACACAGCTGTGAGCACTGTTCATAGTGATTCTGAAAGTATGATCAACTCATCAAAACACAATATCTTGGTACAAGTAATAATATGAATTATCAAAATGTTATCTATAAATATTATTTTGCATTTTGTGAGAAAACTGTCAATGAGTACATTGTCACTGACTAGGTCTGTCGTCTGATTCATACAAACCTGTATGCTCTAACCTGTCTTCTAATTATATATACAAGCTTGGGTCTATGAACACTTGCCATAGATCTTGTTTTTTTGTAAATTTATAAATGTTGAGTGTCACTGACTAAATGATTCATCAAGATTTATCTTTTCCTTGTAACTGCTGCAATATATATCCATACAGATAGTATATTATTTGGATATGGATGTATGTGTACAGCTAATGCAAACTCTACGTCTGGTGATTCATTAACATGAACACCTGTACTGTATACTGTATCAATGATTGGCAACATCTCAGTATACGTCAAATTCAAGGGAAAGCCACACATCTAGAAAAAAGAAAAATAAAGTAATTGCATTACACATGAACAGAAAAATTATATTGCTCTGAAAATTATTGTATAATGTAGCATGTGATGAGGATAGAATCACATCAATCTCTGCATAGTGGTTATTGTGGTATAAATTATGAATCATTCTGTTGCCAAGGTAATACATGTCACTGAAAAACACAAAATGGCCACCAGTTGGCCACTTTTGTTTGAATTTTGAAAAAATATGTTATACAACTGTAACTCAATATGCATGTTCATGATACAAAGTTTAAATGAAATCACCCTGTTCATTTCTGAGAAATAGAACTGTGATTTCATGTTTTTAAACAAAATGACCCTCAATTGGAAAAATTTGATTGAATCACAAAATAACACAACCTATATTACCCAAGAGTATATTACTCTTATGCAAACTTTCAACTGAATCAGGCAATATATTTGTGATGAACCAGCATGAACATGACTGAAAAAACAAAATGGCCACCAGTTGACCATTTTGTTCGAAAATATAAAAAAAAAATATGATGAACCTGTAACCAAATATGCATGATCATGACACAAAGTTTAAATAAAATTTCATTGGTCATCTTTAAGGAATGGCCTGACAGCTTTAAATATCAGAATTTAGCAATGAGAACCAAAATGGCCACTAGTCAGCCATACTTTATCAAATGGTAATGAAAATTGATGTGCTTCATCCAAAACAGAGACTATTAAATAAGAACTACAAACAGGAAAAGGTCTATCGTAATAGATTAGGGTAAGCATTGAGAAAGTGAGAAATTCAATAAAATCACACAATTTTCTTTAGGCATACACTGTAGTATACTCATAATAACCTCAATGATGAGCTTGAATATTCATATATTGATGGTTATTTTAATTACTTACCGTATAAGAACCTAATACTTGGTCTAACTCTGCTCTATGCTCTTCTATGGTAACTTTCCCTTTTTGTAATTCTAACTTTCGTAACAAATTTCGAAATATTTGTGTACAGTATCTATTGAATCGTGTGATGTGTCTTGGACGCCACTCCATTAATTTCTCACGTAATTTCTTCTCAATTCTAAAAGGTAAGAAAACAAAAGAATGTCACTGCAAATAATGGCACATAAACTCAATGTACTTGTTTCTATACATCGGTTACCGGTACAGGAAAATGTTGTTATTACAACTTTTAACTCAAGGACAACACTGGTTGCTTTGCTCAAAGACATCACTAGTTTTCTCACTCAATGACTCACTCACTCAATGGCATCCTCAAATGTTTCAATGACATCACAAGTTTTCTCACTCAATGACTCACTCAATCAATGGCATCCTTAGATGTATCAATGACATCACAATTTTCCCATTCAATGACTGACTCACTCAATGACATCCTTAGATGTTTTAATGACATTACAAGTTTTCTCACTCAATGACTCACTCACTCAATGGCATCCTTAGATGTTTCAATGACATCACAACTTTTCTCACTCAATGACATTACAAGTTTTCTCACTCAATGACTCACTCACTCAATAGCATCCTTAGATGTTTCAATGACATCACAAGTAGCCTCATTCAATGACATCGCTAGTTGCTTTGTTGTCTCACTGACTTATTTATTGACATAACAAATTGTTTCCCTGACTCATTCAATGTTATGATTAGAGCTACGATACAGTATACATTTACTAATGTAGTAATGTAAAGATCAGCAATAGATGACTTACTTGTCAGTTAATTCTGCAACATATCCTTTATCAGTTGGGTAGTATCTTAACTCATCTACCTACAGATTATAAAATGTATATCGATATGACAATGTGGGCAAATCACAGATAAATTATTATACCCATAGTTGGCTACCAGTGAAAGCACCTGATCACCAGATTTGTGACTATATTTATTGTTTGTTGCTCAAAAAATATGTCAAAAACCATGATTTTTGGAGTACTTTACCATGAAGATTGCTTTCTATGATGAAAAGATTTTGTTTGGGTACATATATGGCGAACATATCACCATATAATGGGTACTCATGATTGTCTTGAATTATACAGAAATTATGAATTTTTGTTTTAAATATGAAAATTCCAAAATGAACCATTTTATAAAAGTTGATTTGAGTCTATATTAACAATTAAGTACTACTTTTGAAGCAAAATAGTGAGAGTATTTCTCATTTAATAAGTTGAATGATTGATAATATTTGATATGAATATAAATACTTACTTGTACACTGGTAAGGTTAGGATTTGAATAACCTTTACTGAACAAAGGTCTCCACATACTACTTTTAGACACATCAAAATCTACTCTATATGGTTCATCATTAGGCTGAATATTGGCCCAGATCTGTAATACAAACACAGTCTAGCTTACACAGAAGTATAGATACATAACTGGAAATCCATAAATTTTTAAACTATATATTACATGTAACACCGTATTACATAATTATGCTTGCATAAATTACAGAATTGTTTCTACAGTTAATATAAGTCATATTTTAATGATCCAGCATACTATTTTTGTGCACTTCTTCTAATAGAATAAATATGGCACGTACGAAAACCTGGCTGCAGTGAACTCAAGTACATGAGATATGCCACACATAGAAACTAATAATTTGGTTTGAGATATTTGCATAATATTCATTCCTGCTGCTTGTAATGCATGTATAATGCATGTAGAACAAAACAATCTATGTATAATTTTCCTACTTACATTGTCCTTATTGATAAGACATCCAACACTTTTGAAAGGACAGAAATTATCATATTGTGGGTAATGTTCACCAGTAGATGCATTCCATATCAAGAATGTAGTATCATTTTCTTTAGTTAATACATAAGTAGTGGCTCCTTCAGGTATAGCTGACCCTACTAATAACCATGTCTTCTTTCCAATATGTAAGAAATAGTTGCATAGCAACACAGCATGCTCTTCTTCATCACCTTGTAACATCTGCAGAAATTGCTGTTGAAAAAATACATCACATATATATTTATTGTTACACAATTGTCACCATAACTTTTTTTGCGGTATTGCACAAAGTATCTGCATCTATATTAGAGTATCTGCATCCATATTAGGGGATCTGCCTCCATATTAGGGTATCTGCATCCATATTAGAGTATCTGCATTCACATTAGGGGATCTGCCTCCATATTAGGGTATATGCATCCATATTAGGGGATCTGCATCCATATTAGGGGATCTGCATCCATATTAGGGTATCTGCCTCCATATTAGGGTATCTGCCTCCATATTAGGGGATCTGCCTCCATATTAGGGGATCTGCCTCCATATTAGGGTATCTGCATCCATATTAGGGTATCTGCCTCCATATTAGGGTATCTGCATTCACATTAGGGTATTTGCCTCCATATTGGGGTATCTGCCTCCATATTAGGGTATCTGCCTCCATATTAGGGTATCTGCATTCACATTAGGGTATTTGCCTCCATATCAGGGTATCTGCCTCCATATCAGGGTATCTGCCTCCATATTAGGGGATCTGCCTCCATATTAGGGTATCTGCCTCCATATTAGGGGATCTGCCTCCATATTAGGGTATCTGCCTCCATATTAGGGTATCTGCATCCATATTAGGGTATCTGCATCCATATTAGGGTATCTGCCTCCATATTAGGGTATCTGCCTCCATATTAGGGGATCTGCCTCCATATTAGGGGATCTGCCTCCATATTAGGGTATCTGCATCCATATTAGGGTATCTGCCTCCATATTAGGGTATCTGCCTCCATATTAGGGTATCTGCATTCACATTAGGGTATCTGTATTCACATTAGGGTATCTGCCTCCATATTAGGGTATCTGCATTCATATTAGGGTATCTGCATTCACATTAGGGAATCTGTATTCACATTAGGGTATCTGTATTTATATTAGGGTATCTGTATTCACATTAGGGTATCTGTATTTATATTAGGGTATCTGTATTCACATTAGGGTATCTGTATTTATATTAGGGTATTTGCATTCACATTAAGGTATCTGTATTTATATTAGGGTATCTGCATCCATATTAGGGTGTCTGCCTCCATATTAGGGTATCTGCATTCACATTAGGGTATCTGCCTCCATATTAGGGTATCTGCCTCCATATTAGGGAATCTGCATCCATATTAGGGTATCTGCATTCATATTAGGGTATCTGCATTCACATTAGGGTATCTGTATTCACATTAGGGTATCTGTATTCACATTAGGGTATCTGTATTCACATTAGGGTATCTGCCTCCATATTAGGGTATCTGCCTCCATATTAGAATATCTGCATCCATATTAGGGTATCTGCCTCCATATTAGGGTATCTGCATTCACATTAGGGTATTTGCCTCCATATTAGGGTATCTGCATTCACATTAGGGTATCTGCATTCACATTAGGGTATCTGTATTCACAATAGGGTATCTGCCTCCATATTAGGGTATCTGCATTCATATTAGGGTATCTGCATTCATATTAGGGTATCTGCATTCACATTAGGGTATCTGTATTTATATTAGGGTATCTGCATCCATATTAGGGTATCTGCCTCCATATTAGGGGATCTGCCTGCATATTAGGGGATCTGCATCCATATTAGGGTATCTGCATCCATATTAGGGTATCTGCATTCATATTAGGGTATCTGCCTCCATATTAGGGTATCTGCCTCCATATTAGGGGATCTGCCTCCATATTAGGGGATCTGCATTCATAGTAGGGTATCTGCATTCATATTAGGGTATCTGCATTCATATTAGGGTATCTGCATTCATATTAGGGTATCTCCATTCATATTAGAGTATCTCTATTCACATTAGCAATGATGATGAATGATGTTTAAAATGTATACTTACATCACAAGTACTCCATATATCACACATACCAGGGAATTCTACACTGTCTGATACAGATGGTATCAAAGATACAAACCGAGCTATTGCTTCCTATAAGCAAAAGTAATACAAATTATTGATAAATATGATATTATGATGGCTAGTACTGATAGGTAGATGTGTTTTTGTCTGCTTTGTCTATTTTTATGGATTCCTAACAGATTTACTTGTAGTCTCAACAGGTTGCATACAACTTCCGAAAGATTCAATTCCTGGACTAGTTATTTTGAGGGGTGTAGGATGAAGTTATGTTGAATTCAGAGTTTTTAAAGAAATACTTCAAAATACAGTGCAAGAATGTAAGAAATTTGTGTTACAATAAATTTGACAACAAAACTATTAGTGAAATATATCCTTTGTTGAAACACAACACAAAGATTGGCATACATGTGTATATACCGGTAATGGTTACCCTTTTCAGCAAAGCAATGTGCATTTGTACTGGAGATCACTAAATGTGTAGACCCAGAGGGCCAATGCTCACACCGACTTTGGTGAGATGTATTATATTTTTTTTATCAGCAGCGCAACTCCAATAGAAGCGCATGTAAATAAACAATTGCACTAACTATAAACTGGATCATTCAAATATTACTCAATTTGGTCGTAGACACACCTCAGAACAGTACCACACTACTAATGATCTTAATATGTAAATTACAGTCACAGTAGGTAATATTTTAATGACTCAGTATACCACAAATGTGATTTGGTGGTTATATGCATTTCTATTGGAAATGTATTTTTAGAAATGCAAATTAATTGGTGATATGAAGTCTTGATACATTCCATGCCAAACTAAAGTCACTTACAGCTTGTTTGAGAGGATTAGACTCCATATTGAGAACTTCATCTGGTGGCTTGAGTGGTTTAAAATATCTTGTGACAAACACTGATTTTGCATTGATGTCCATCACTGTTGTAATTATTTCACGCTTGGGATGTTTTTTCTGAATTCCATCAGCAAACACATCAGCAAAGTTCAGTAACTTCTCATCTTCTGTGGTGTCAAACTGACAATAAAAAAACAGAAATATTAGATACATGTATACATTGTAAAATACAACATATAGTAGTAGTATTAAATTACTACAGCAATGTATTGCTTGGATGTACATATTATTATATAATTATTAATTTATTGACTTCATTTCCCTGTTAGGATTTTGAGTCTGATGTACAATAAATCTAATAATAAAAAAAAAATTACAAAATTCAACAATTTAGCCTAGGTCTTGCTCCTTAAGCATTCTTGTATCAATATTTTGGCTGCTATTTGACCACCTTAAATGGGACTGTGAAACAAATGCACATGTATATTTGTGAAATGATGTCTGATAACTATGTAAAGCTTGAACATGATATGTAGATTTGGTTCCAGTATGACAGAAATGGTTGATTTTGATGCATTTTCAGTACGTAAATGGCTACCATTCGGCCATTTTAAAATTGATTATGTATATTCATGTGCATATGTGTGACAAAGGGTGAAATTATAAGTCCTTGTTTTCAGACATAATCCTATACAATATGTTAAACCACAGTTACTAAAAATAACCGTGGTTAAACTGACCTTCTCTTTGACAGGATCTGGTGTTGACAATGCTGGTTCTATTGTTATAAATAGCTGTAAATATGTACTATCAGATTCAACTTTAGATGGCGCACCACCATAAGGTGAAGGCACTGTAGTGGCTGCTGACAGGGGACCAGCTCTCTGATAGCCTAGTAGTATTGGTGGGGCTTCCAGACGGAAATTACCTTCAATCTGTAACCAAATAATAAAACGCATTAATGAAGAAAAAGAATCTGAAAATAATATCCAGAGAAACAGTTCAACCAAAATATAAATTGAAAACGATAAACAGATGTACCATCTTTGTACTTAGAATTAACTATTTTTGAATTACATTGTGCTTATTTTGTTTTAAATAATGATATAATGAATGAACCCCAACCCCCAATTTTAATGTCAGCAAAATTGGTATTGAAATGGTTAATGATTACCCCTGAAGGTCACACATCCTGGTAATTTGCATGACCCCTGAAGGTCACACATCCTGGTAATTTGCATGACCCCTGAAGGTCACACATCCTGGTAATTTACATGACCCCTGAAGGTCACACATCCTGGTAATTTACATGACCCCTGAAGGTCACATATCCTGGTAATTTACATGACCCCTGAAGGTCACACATCCTGGTAATTTACAGGACCCCTGAAGGTCACACATCCTGGTAATTTACATGACCCCTGAAGGTCACACATCCTTGTAGTTTCTGGGGTTATTGGCAGTCATTTGACAGTTATAACAAGATAAACAAGATATGAATGATGCAGTAACATGCAATGAGGAACAATCATCACTAACACTACAATATGTAAAAATGTTAGACTGATTTATAACTTACCTGTCCCTGGAAATAGACTGTAGAAAATGGTATTTTCAGTGATCCTAACCATTTTCTTTCAAGTCTCTGATGGACATTAGTAGCTCTTTGTCTATCATCATCTAACATATCAACAACTACTTCATCAAATAAATTTACATACAGTAAATCTTTACATGTCTGAAGAGAGGTTGAAGAATAATCATTGTTTGGTGCTCTGTGAATAACAAAAATATTGGACACATTGATATTCATGACATGTTTTTTTTCATTTCAAGTGAGCAGTATGCAAATATAAAACAACAGCACTTACTTGAAAGACATACAGAGCTCTTCACTCCAGTTAGGGTTAGGACCTTCACCAACACTGGTTTGTTTTGTGTTGCGTTGAAACACACACTCCACAAATGGTCTCACAGTTATCTTTAAAAAAAAAACAATACATAAATAAAGAATATAATATAATATTTGGCTTTGGATGACATCACTGCTTTACATTTGATTAGTACTATATCACATGCCATTGGACCTGAACATGTATAATGCTATATTTGGCTTTGGATGACATCACTCCATTATTTTTCATTAGTACTATATCAACCACCATTGGCCCTGAACATGCATAATTAAATAAAGCAATTTCACACAATGCTAAGTGACATGCTAATTGCTAAGTACTGATGAATGGCTATAAAGATATGGAAAACAGCCATTGAATAGATCATTGGACTTTAAACAGGAAGATAGATAAAGAGAAATAAAATGAACTGAAAGCGCTTAAAAAATGGCAATATTTTTTTCTGTCAAATTTATGAGAATCAATGATTATCAATGATTTAACTCAAAAATTGTGATGCAAATTTTGCATCAATCAGATGTTCTGGGCTTCCACTAAAACTTAGCCAGTCATTATTGGCAAATTTTATTTAGATTTTTTTCATTTATTTTGTATCATTTTTGCCACTAATGCCTAATTTCAAATCATGAATTATTCTGCAAAAATTGTGATCATTTTAAAGCATATAACCACAGAAATGTAAATGTAAAAAAATATATTTCTACATGTAATTCAATGTGTGTTACAGCAGCATTTTCCAGTATCCTACACAAATCTGACAAATTCATGATTTTAATTTTTCCCAATCTATGAAGTGGCTAAATAAGTTTGAAATTGACTGCAAAAAACAATGCAGTATTAGCAAATATGGCTAGAACTATTTTATCCTTAGTAGAAACCCAGGATCATCTGATTTTTTTAATGATTAGTGCATTAAAGTTACCTGTCCTGGTGTAATCAGCTGCAAGATTGCACAAGAAAAAGAGAAAAACAAGAAATATTTAATATATGTGCACAGTATGGAAAGGTGTGGTATTCTTAAGACCAAACCCAAAACATAACTTGCTCTGCAGATTTGATAACTGTAAAGTTTTTGAGGAGGGAAGGAGGCACAGTGAGATTCTGCTAAAATCTGATGATTCTGGCACTGTTGTGAGATACATAAATATAATAACTGAATTTATATGGCATTTTAGTATGCATGTTACTTCATGGATATTACTATCACTCTTACATTTAGCCTTGAAAATAATGCAGAGCAAGTTTTTTTTTTGGAGAGGGTGGGGGTCTGCTTTACTGAGAATTAGACAAGAAATCATTAATAAACAGAACTGAAACATATACTACAATACAAATACTACAGAAATATCATTTAAAGTTTTACATGTGAACCAGTTTGTCTTATTGAGTTATTGTCAATATCAGTATTAAAGCACCCACAAACATGGTCAATATGATCTCTTACAGATTCATATCACAGACTCGTATGACACAAGTCACATGACACAAGAAGGAAGGTAATTACTTACTGCAGTTGTTAACTCAGTCAAAGTCAATGATTCCTTCCTGACTGGAATGTCAAATGCTCGTTCTATATTAACAAGTACTTTGACATCAGCTTGACCCAAGCTCTGAGCAGTTACTACTTTCCGTTCTTTTCTTGTAGGTTTTAGAGGTCGTCTTGGTTCTGCTAATTTTAGTAAGTTAGCAGATAACAACCTGAAGAGTTACACATAAAACTATTAAAAATTAAGTAATACAGGTATTCTCAATCTTGCCCAAGGAATGCTCTAGCCAATATTACCTGCCCATTTACATTAACTCTAAGCCCAATGTACTTTAAACATTGTCTTGACCACACAAGGGTTGAAACAGAGAAAGTTTAATTTCTAATAATATTTTACAATTAATGTATACTCACGTAATATTTGGTACTGGTTCTTCTGCGACTACATCTAGCCATGTGTATTGGTGCTGTGCAGCACGGAATCTAGCCATCACTTGTTCACGTACCTACACCAAATTAAATAATTACACACCATAAATGGATTAATTTTTTTAATTTTTTGCTTGGATCCTGACACCAGTGAGTTAGCGAGGGATCACTGTACAAACAATTTGACTTCACACTAATTATGATGTAATACACAGTGGTGCAATTTTACAGCACATTAAATTATAGTGAATTATAGTTTAAAGTAGTCCTCCTATTATATATGACACATGATTAAATAAAGAGTTGGTGTCAAGTATCTACTTCTGAATCCTTATATGAAAGATATTCAATCATTTTGTTATTAACATGCTCAACTTAATTCGTTGTGATGCATCATATACAATATGGGTCCCATGCAATGTATACAACACATAGAAATTTATTGTTTACATTGCATATGAACATGCATTGTACAATGACTGTGTCGCTTCAAGCTTCAAGCATGATATGCCTATATACATTGCCACAGAGTAAGGCATGATTCAATTTGATTGTGATTACCTTTCCAAGGAACCTTGCAACAGCAGCCCTATGTGGATCCTTGTCATCACCAACTGCCAATTCCTCTTCAGCTTTTTTCTTTTTTTCATACTCCTACAAAAGAATGAGACAACTTAAGCAAATATGTAGTGTATGAATATCATATGCTACATTGAAATTGAAAGACAACATGAACCAATAAAAAACATTATGGCCATGTAGCACATACACCAGACCATACTTACCAAAAATACATCAGCTGGTATTTCTTTCTCCTTTATTGGTATTTGAGTGTAATTCCGAAATTCAGCGACTTCTTTCTGTCGCAACTCAATTAATTTGAACCTTTTAGACTCGGCTATTTCATCATCGGTGGCAAAATTAAATTCCTGTTGCAGCTGTTCCAGTCGGAAATAAGATGGTAACTTCACGGATTTACCATATGCATCAGTACCACTAACAGACTGCAAAAAACAACAATGACAGAAAAATTAGATGAGCAATTTGGATTCAAGTTAATCTCATTGTGGTAATTACCTTCAAGTGGCATTAGCTGTGACTATCAATCTTTTTTTTCCTCTGAATTGTGATTTAATAAAACATTTACGTTGCTTTTATTGCCAATTTATAATGGCCATCATCAAAATATAGACACTGAAAGCATAGTACATATGCTAGATACTGCAAGTGAACAAGTGATAAAATGGTTGAAATAGCTCTGTTGCTTTTTTGACGGACAGATGTACTACAGACAATCACCTACATGTATATAAACAGCTCCGCTCTGTCATCGATGTTGATAGACAACAATTATGGCAGTTGGGTTATGCTCAGCTCATCTATTGAAATCCAGTCAAGCAAACATCCCAATTACTGGGTCCCTGGGTGAATTGTCAAATGGTTGTCATCTCAATGACGATTTTATGTGTAATTTCCCATATAAATAACGAGTTATTTGGATCCAGTTTTGATTCAGTAATCCTTTGAGATAATTACCTTAATCATATGCAGTAATGCAGCATTAGCTGGATCATTTGGATCCAGTTTTGACTCGGTAATCCATTGTGATAATTTTTCCATATCTACCATACCAGTAGCACCAATAGCAGCTAATGCGTCATACTGTTTGACTGCACTGTAGATGAAGAAAAAACTTGATAATCTCACAAAAAGTATTCCATCTGTTCATTACTGACATATATCAGTGTTTTCCTACTAACAGCGGTGTGCTCAACTCATTTTAATTATTTTTTCAAAGCCTCAGGTTCAGCAAACTATGAGAATCATAGACTCACAGTAACCAATAGACCTTTTTGTGGATAGCATTGCTTCAGTCAGCTGTTCTATTTACAAAGAAATATGGGTATTTTGCAGGGCAAATCCGCACAAATATGAGGTTATTGCAAGAATACCACAGAGCATTCACTTAAGCAGTACATGGTCATAATCTTCTATGTTGGTTGATAACCAAACTGCACTGTCAAACTTTAAGGTGTGATCAGAATAACATTGTTATGGTGAATAGTAATTGTACATTCTCACTAGGAATTTTATTTTCAAACATATCTGATGTAGTAGGCAGTACAAGATGTATAAAATCACCGCCTGCTTTTGTACATACTTTGCAGTATTCTCATGAAAATCTCATAATATCATTAGAAGACAAGCATATTTACTTAATTTTTGACTTCAGTATATTCCATGTTATAGGCAAGCTTTGTACATAATGAAATTTGGTACTGAAGACTGTATTATACAAGGCCAGAACAAAGCAGGCTCACATATATAATTCAGATTGAAGGACATTGCAAAATAGTGATTCAACCATGTCTTCAAATTACAGAAAGATAGAAATCACAAGGACTGCATACTTTTTTTCAAAGAGTTGTTATATGAATATAAGTCTAGGAATAGCCTGTTTCATTCCTTGGATTATTTTTTTCAGCAAATAGTTGCTTGGAACTCAATAAAAAACAATTTAATCACATCAGAACCTTTCACTGGTACTAACAGTATAATGAATACTGTATTTGGTTTATAAGAAGCACATCCTCATCTAAAAAAATAATTGCATGTGTATACTGAATTATTTAAAATACAACTTATTTTCCACACCTGTAATGTTCATATCAAAGCACATATAGTACTAATAGTAGAGTAGTTGATATTTACATACCCCATAGAATAGGCTGTAGTCTGTGATATAGGTGGTATGAGTGGACTACCATCATCTCCTACTCCCCATGATACACTAGACATTAAACTACCAGATGTTAACAAGGTATATTCCTGTGCATTGTTCTCATCACCAATTTTAAATGCATGTCCTGTAATTAAAGTAATATATCATAAATATTACAACATGTAAAGCAAGGTCAATGATTAATAAATAAAAATGTAAATTCTAGAGCTGAAATGTAATCCGTAAATCTCAGGATACACTGAAATCATCAATAGAGTCAGAGACAAGTAAATGTCAAGTAAAAGGATGTGTGTAAAAAAAAGTTTTGTTTCTCATCATTGATGCACGTCGAATGAATAAATAAATACAAAAAAGATAAATTCTCAGTAATTTTCTT